CCCGGACGGCGACGGAAACGCGATGAAATCAGGGAAAAGCCAAAAGTCTCCTGCGCATGACTGGCGCGAAACATGTTGACGTTTGCCACTCGCCGCTGCCAAGCATAAACTCTCACGAAACAACAACAATTTCACACCGTGTGCAAGATCAGTTTGGCTTTGGCGCAATATATAATATTAACTGAGAACTCTCCAACAAATGAGCGGAGTTTAAAAGCTAAGTTTCCAGAGTGCGTTCTAAGTTTTGTATCTTCTTCACTGTCGACATTACTCGCGGCGAAAACAATGTAAAAGTTGCAGGCATTCTGTAGTTTTGTTAAGGTGTACCGCTGTCCATTAAAATACTGTATCGCGCCCCCCCAAAAAAGTAGTTCCGTGGTGTCGATCTCCGTGGTGTTTCGTATTCACACCTCTGCAGCGCGTGCTATGGCTAGTGTGGCCTTAATAGTCTGCGTAGCAAGCGTTCCCGTACGAAGGGCTTTTCCGCATTCTGGCCGCGCGTAAATTGGAGCGTGAGCAAAAGTCGACGAAGCACGGGGTGGTGGGGCGAGAAAGGGAACTCCCTCGCCTCACTACCCCCTGCTTCGTCGATTTTTTGCTCTCGCTCCAATTTACGCGCGGCCAGAATGCGGAAAAGCGGTATATACTGCATGCTAGCCTGCATATAGAGCACTTTATGTTTATACCATATATGGTATATCCTAATATGGCAGAAAGATCAACTCACCTACACTTCCATACATTTGTATTCATTGACCTTCACCTTTATACATTCGCCTTCCCATTTATTCACTCTCCTTAACTTTTATTCACATGTATTCACTCACCTTCACTTGTTCGCACTTTCTTTCACTTGTATGCAGTCTCCTTCACTTGTATACACTCACCTTCACCTGTCCGCACTTTCCTTCACTTGTATGCACTCACCTTCACTTGTATACACTGTCCTTCACTTGTATGCACTCACCTTCACTTGTACGCACTTTCTTTCACTTGTATGCACTCTCCTTCACTTGTATGCACTCATCTACACCTGTACGCACTTTCCTTCACTTGTATGCACTCTCCTTCACTTGTATGCACTCACCTACACCTGTACGCACTTTCCTTCACTTGCATGCACTCACCTTCACTTGTATACACTCTCCTACACCTGTACGCACTTTCCTTCACTTGCATGCACTCACCTTCACTTGGATGCACTCACCTTCACTTGCATTCACTCACCTTCACTTGTATTCACTCGCCTTCACTTGTATGCACTCACCTTCAATTTTACGCACATTCCTTCGCTTGTACACACTCACCTTCACTTGTATACCATTAATTGAAAAACTTCACAAAATCGTGCTGCTAGGGTTATAACAAAATCTAGTTATAAAGTCAGTTTCTCTCCTCCTCTGGACTCACTTAGCTGGGAAAATTTGACAAAGCAGTTGAGTAGCTGGAGGGGAAGGGGGTGCTAGGTGCCCAGGGCTCCCTTTTCTTGTGGACTTTTTTCTCTTTTTAGTAAAAAGCCGTCTGGAAAAGCGTGTGTATTTCTTAAGAGATTCAGCATGAAATCTTGAAGTTGCGATAATGGGGGAAAACCTCCCTCCCTAGTGGCAGATTGGAAGCTATTCAAAGCTGTGGTGCCAGATACAGCTATTTTAATTAATGCTCTCGGATTTTAAAGCTTCAAGCTCACGCGACAAGACCGAAAGGTAATACGTGTAGCTCTACATCCTTTGTAGTTTGGCTATAATTTTGCAATTGTTTGTGCCACACGATGAGAGAAAACATAAATGAGCATTTGCCTCTTTCATGTTATCACTTTACAGGTGAGTCAAGTGAAGGTGAGTGCATACAAGTGAATGTTCGTGAATACCAGTGAATGTGACTAAACACATGTGAAGGTGAGTGAATACAAGTGTAGGTGAGTACATACAAGTGAAGGTGAGTGAATACAAGTGTAAGTGAGGGCATATAAGTGAAAGTAAGTGCATACAAGTGAAGGTGGGTGCATACACAAGTGAAGGTGAGCGCGCACTAGTGAAGGTGATCGAGTGAATACAAGTGAAGGTGAGTGAATACAAGTGAATGTGCGTGCATACAAGTGAAGGCGAGTGAATACAAGTGAAGGTGAGTGAATACTAGTGAAGGAAAGTGCATACAAAAGTAAAGGTAAGTGCACACAAGTGAAGGTGAGTGAATACAAGTGAAGTCGAGTGCATACAAGTGAAGGCGAGTGCATACAAGTAAAGGCGAGTGCATACAAGTGAAGGTGAGTGCGTACAAGAGAAGGTGAGTGAATACAAGTCAAGGTGAGTGCATTCAAGTGGAGGCGAGCGCATCGGCAAGTGAATGTGAGTGCATACAAGTGAAGGTGAGTGAATACAAGTGTAGGTGAGTGCGAAGTGAATGTGAGTGTGTTACATAATCAGCTTATGTAATTCTATTTATTCTGTCACCTTTCAGACATAGTCGTAATGCAGACAGGAGTACCCAACGACACTTTAACTGGAAATTTAATATGTGACTTCTCAAGCACTGATTCTGTGCTC